GTTGAAGGTGCGCCTTCTCAGAATTTTGGGTTTTCCACTTCTAACAGAAGTACTTTCCGGAGAGTTAGGCAATCCTTGTAGTTTTCTGGAAGCGCACCTCAGGCACAATCAAAATCTACCTCAACAAGTCAAAAAAAACGTCCCAAGAAAGTTATTCCCCTCTAAAATTTTTTCTTCGCCGCGTCCCGTTCTTCCAGCGCCCGGGTGATACCTGCCGCGCTCCAAGGCCGACGCGACGACGCGCAGACGCTTTCTGGCGCAACGGATTCATGTCTAGCACTCTTATTAACAAAAACAGGGGGTCGCAACTGGACCCCCTCGAGAGCTAGGGGGTCGCAAAAATCCCGAAAATGTTCGAACGTGACGGTTGACCCTGTAAGAACTGATAGGAGCTGATAACGGACGTCGAAATGTTGATGTCACCAATTTCGTTACGCCGTTCGCGTTGACGGTGGAGAGTTTGCACTCATGTATGATATGTGGGGTGAGGCGGGGACCAAGAAGGTGAGTGAACGAATGTGGTGCAGGAATTATTGGAGACAATTACGAAGACTAGCCGTACAACTGATGGATTTAAGAAGGTGATTGGGCGATAACACGTGAACTCTGATCACTGCACGTAGAGAACAGGGAAATGAGGCGAGAATTGAATATGAAGGAGTTTATAGGTTCAACAGCTGGAGAGATTTCGTCCATCGCCTCCGATTTTATTATAGATTTTTCGGATTTATTGAAGGCAGGTCAAAGATCACGTAATCCGTTTATTTGATTTAAATAATGTATAACCCAACAGAACAGTCAAGTAAACAGTCACTAACATTAAGCAAGTCTAGCACATTGCCCAGAACTCTCTAAAGTATTGGATACATAAACTGGATTTGAATGCGGGGTCAACTAATGAACTCACTCTCTAGTGGGGTCTCTCTCTGTAGTCCCGTCTTTTCGTGGCTCTTTCATTGACATACGAATTTGTAGGTCCTCCCCTAGTGGTTCTGTAATGTTTGGCTCAAGAGTCTGGCCTGGCTGGTCTTTTAAAAGCACCCCATGCTGTCGAAACCACTCCTGCATGTGAGAGGCCCGATGCTTTGAGTCGCTGCTCTGCTGACAGACAAAGCCAGGTCGTGTGGCAGCCATGTCTACGGATACATAACATCTTCTAGAATCTAAGTCTATACTACGTATTCCTTAGTTCTCAAAGTCTAAGAAGAGCGCTCGCTGTGAAGTGGGTGGGAGAATGTGATTGACTAAGCCTGAAACGAAGGTTGATACAGGTTTCTAAGGTCATCTGGAATGACAAAAACATATTACTGATGCATGACAGCAAGGATACTAGTAATGTACGGCACCACGAGAGGGAACGTTTTGATCCAAAGAATCAGCTGCCAATTGTGAAACTTGGCGGAGGCTTGATAAGGTTGCCTTGGAAAAAAGTGGGACCACGCTACACGACTGAGGTAGCGATGAAGGCAGACGTTTGCTGTCATGTTTTGGAAGGTGTCATGTATCCGTAGGCATGGCTGCCGCCGACCTGACTTTGTCTGTCAGGCAGAGCAGCGACTCAAAGCATCGGGCCTCTCACATGCAGGAGTGGTTTCGACAGCATGGGGTGCTTTTAAAAGACCAGCCAGGCCAGACTCTTGAGCCAAACATTACAGAACCACTAGGGGAGGACCTACAAATTCGTATGTCAATGAAAGAGCCACGAAAATACGGGACTACAGAGAGAGACCCCACTAGAGAGTGAGTTCATTAGTTGACCCCGCATTCAAATCCAGTTTATGTATCCAATACTTTAGAGTTCTGGGCAATGTGCTAGACTTGCTTAATGTTAGTGACTGTTTACTTGACTGTTCTGTTGGGTTATACATTATTTTATTCAAATACGTGATCTTTGACCTGCCTTCAATAAATTCGAAAAATCTATAATTTTTCAAACCCTGTTTGAGCTGAAGGTTGATATTTTTGTGTGGGTCAGAAAACAATTAATAACTGTTTCAAATTTGGAGACGATTCAGCGATTTTGCGAGAAGAAATTCTCAAAAAAACCGTCTGTTTATAAATTTCTGGCCAATACTGTATATTCAATCAGTTGTTATCCTTCGGAGAGTTACCTTCGCAGTCGGAACACTCCTTTGTAACACCACTGCTTAAAAAGGAACCGGAACCATCGTGGAACCCCGAAAATTATCGAACTGCGAGTATCACACTTTTTCTGTCGGCTATTCGAGAAGGTCCTCAAAAGCATGTCAGTCATCATTTATCGGTTAATCATCTTGTTTCTACGCACAAACGCAGTTTTGTTTCAGGTCGTTCCGTTGAAACAATTTTGATCGAATGCTTGTACGAATGGACTTGAGTTTTCAAAAGTAAGCTCTTCTACGACGTAATTCGATTTTGCAAGAGCGTTTGATAGGGTTTCTTATGAGAAAACAGGAAGCTTTAAAGTTTCATCCGTTCCTCACGAAGTGGATTCAGTATCTAAGTGGAAGAACGTTCCAGGTAAAAGTTGGGCACTTTTTTCGGAGGTTCGTGGTGAGCCCTGAGGAGGCCTGCTTTCACCAGTTCTCTTCAATGTTTCTACGGCCAAGCTCACTGACATGTTTCATGAAGTTGGCGTTATAGCTAAAATGTATGCGAAAAAACAAAATAAAAATCTATAAAACGATCTCGGCAGTGGTGGATTCCCAAAAACTTTAAAAAGCAATTGATCCAACGGTAAGCTGGTCCAAGAGTGGCAACTGCCTATAGCACCACACAAAACAGTGTACATGCAAATAATGTGTGGGAACTTCACCATTGATGCGATCGTACACTGTTGATGGTGTTCCTCTCTCTGCTGTCGAATCTGTCAGAGACCTAGGTTTTCATTATAACAACAAATTGGACTTCACGGAACACATTAAAGGGAGGGTCAGAATGGCTCATTGCGAACTTTTCAGATTTTCAAAAAGATTTGTCCTTAGCTAATAAAGGAGCTCTGCTGCGTGCTTACAAGTCATATGTGCGGTCCCTGGTTGAGTCCAGCACTACGGTATTCAACACCACGAAGGAGGAAGCATGTCTATGCGCTTGAGAAGGTTCAGAATAACTTTACTCGTAAACTGCTTATTCGGATTGTAGTTTTTGTACTCCGAAATACTGAAGAGAGCCATGGGGAATCAGTATTTAGGATTGACATCGTCAGAAACAAGGCACAGAGTTTTCGATCTTTGTGGGCATGTGGGGTTACGGTTCCAATGTGTTCGAGCTGGCACATTCGAGAACCAGAGGAGGTCCTGTGGAAATCTCATTGAACTTTCTAAAACTAAGCGGGCGAGGAACTTCACCCTTAGAGCCGGCAGTGATCATTTGAAGTTAGTCAAAGACATTCCCGTCACTCTATCGCTAACACAATTTAGACGTCGTGTAGTCAATTCGTTGCTAAGCAGTGGAAGGTCCTAACGTTTTCTGAGACTGATTATAAAGGAAATCTACTTGGTATTATATTTATTTTGTTGTGTGCTGTGTTTTATGATTTACTTCGTGTTTTTTTTCACGTTACTTTCCACAGACTTAATCAATTTATGCTTATACTTACACTTATACAGTTGTGTGAAATCTTGGTTGGGATTTGAATCGCGGAGCATTCGTGTCTCACCGGCGCTACTGCCTCTCGTGCATCCGAAGCTGACATTTTTTGAGACAAAATCGGGTGTGAGGAGAATAAGGAGGAGTCGTGTGGGAGCCTTTTTCAAAGGGATGGTAAGACTCGCCGATTCCCTCTACACGATTTTCACCCTGCTTGGTAGGATATCATTAATCGTGGGGTCAAATGTCAATGAGGAATCGATTTTTTGAAACGCCAAGCCGATTGAACGAATAGTCACCTCTCAACGTATTAGAACGACAGAAAAAAACAAACATATACAGGAAAAGAGAATGCCGAGGTTATACTGACGAAAAGTCCTTGAAGCCTGTTGACAGCCTAGATAGAGCCTATTTTGCGGTCTACGTACGGTAGAAAATATATCTTTTTACCGTGTTTGATGTGTCGAGGGATAGGAGAAATAGAGAGTTGTGTGGTTGGGCTGCAAAAAGGATGCTGATCTCTTATCGTTTAGAAATCGATAGCGTCGTTCCCAAGCAGCCTTATACATTTAATCTGCTCTAACATCCATGCCTCTCTCGCTTGTCTTCTGTTGATCTTTGAAATAAGGAAAAAAGATCTTGTAACCTGTCTTGCTTTTCGTCGCCCGAGCCACCGTTCCTTTGCTGTTCATCGTCGAGTTCGAAGATGTTGTCGCTAAAATTTCGACATTCATGCGACCGTAGTGTAAGTTAGAACACAATGGCTGCTTCGGGGAGCAACAGCGGTGCAAGGGGCATAGCGCGTGAGACGCTGTTGATCTATTTTTGACGTGTTGATCTATTTTTGACGCAGGAGTCCTAAATAAGAGTTTATCTCCATACGGCACCATGAAAAAATTGAAATATTCCCTACTATTTTGGAATCGGAAGTCGCGAACGCGACAAGGGGTATAACGAAAAAACTGCTCCAGGCTTGTATCACATCCCAACGGATTTGCTCCGTCCTGGAAATACCCCTTTACACACTCTTTTTGCAAGCCACTGTCATCAATATATAGAGCTAAGAAAGCTTTCAGAACGATGGAAAGAAAGGCAGTTCTCTTACTCAAGAAATGACAGCGTAAGGATATCGCCGACTACCGTCCTCGATAAGTCTCGTCTCGATGGAAATAAGCCGTTTGGACGGAGCGAGCACCCGAAGTAAGGCGTGAATTATACATTTGTTCTGCTGTAGTCACGTACAATGCGCGATTGACGCGTTAAAACGTGTGCTCGCCCTCGTTTTCTCTGCGCTCTCAACGAAGAGAGAACGCGTCGAGCAAACTCGCCAACTGTACTAAGCGCCGTTCATATAGGAGGTGGAGGATGGACACACGCTCGCGCGCGGCGCTCAGGCTCCCCGCCCGCGCGGCGGAGCGTACGCTGCGACGCTCGACCATTTTGGATTGCTGCCCTGGACCGAAGGGGTAGCGTCGTTGTTGGCATGACCTTCAGAATGGTTACCGCAGAAAGCGCGTCGATGCGAGCGCAATGTACGTGATTGCGGCAGGAACGTCGTAATTCACGCCTTACTTCGGGTGCTCGTTCCGTCCAAACGCCTTATCTCGTCTCGCTGGTTCAGAAAACATTCACGAAAATGATGCTCACATGGAATGCACTTTGAATGAATACCAACCAGTGGACCAGACCGTATTTAGAAAGAATTTTTCATGCATGAGTAACGTAGAAGTAACCCAGCTCATCAAGAGGAGTCAGTCGTTTTTGCAGATTACAAGAAGGCATTCGACGATTCAGTCGAGTCTAAGCCGTTCTGAATGCCCTTACGTGAGCTGGAGTTTTCTCTGCATATATCCATTTGCTCGAACACTGCTCTTTGAATACAAGAACAGTCATCCAACTGTTCCCGCAACATGAAAATCCTAATCGAAAAAGGAGTTAGGTAAATGGACACGATATCTCCGAAATTTTTCAGCATTTTTGTACTCATTTATTTCACGTGACGTGGGGTGAGGCAGAGTCCAAGAATGCGAGTGAAAGAAATGGGTAGCACTTGACAAGAACTGGCAAGGGGCGTTGAAGCGTGGATACCAAAAGTTTCGCTGCGGCCTTCGTGGTGACCACAGAACCTCGACTTTTACATGTGGCATACGGACGGGAACACGGATAGTGTGCAGATAAAAGTGATAACAACCGATAACGATTGATAAGGAAGTTAAGAATTTTGAAATCTTAATTTCGTTGTAGCCTTCGTGGTGACAGTAAATATTAGCTCCTACACGTTGCGTGGAGGTGGGACCGGGACACCGATTGCGAACAGTATGAACTGATAACAAATGACAAGGAATGATAAGAGCGTCGAATGCAGGTCTCCCAACTTCGTTGCAATTATCACTGGCAAGCGATCAAGGTGGCGAGGTGTTGGTAGGTGACAGAAGTGGTATGAGCAGGCAACTGTACTGATAAAAGTAGCGACAATTGAGTGTGCACTCAGTTGAACTTAACCAAATTCATAGCACGTGAATACGTTCCACCCCTGACCTCTCACCGGAAAAGCAAATTAAGTTTAGCCGCTAAGCTCAGTTTTTACCAATGATAAATTTCTATAAGAGCTAAGTTAGATTCTGATTGATTGTTCTTTCGCTCCCACACCGATTCTCTCAATTGTGGAATTCTTATTATATAAACCGCTAAATCGTCCGAGCTCGATATCAATGCTAAATGTTTACGAAGTCATGATAAGTACTATTTCATTCCGCATGCTACTGCGCGCACTACGCAATAGTCTTCAGCAAAAGTGGAACTTCATCCGACCCCTCTTCCGAAACATTTAATCACCCGTTGGTTTCTCAACCACTGCTTACTGCGCAGCTTGTCCATTCTCACCGAAATCCCATCATGCGATGCGCGCGGATGCGTGCGGAGCTAAACTAGTTTCTGAAATATACTGCAAAAAACTCGCTGCATAGGCAGCTTTCGCATCGATTCGTGAAGTAATAGATCAAGCAAATGTTCCGCAACCAAGAGCCTCGACATTTAACGTCTTAGTGTTGCCAGCAATTTGCTACGGAACTGAAACTTTGCCTGAGAACAAGACAATCTCAGACTGCTCCTCGTGCAATGGAAATGGGTTTTTTGAGTATTAGCAGACGACAGCAATGGCAGCAAAGCATACGTAGCTCAGAATTGAAGGAGCGATCACGCTCGAAAGATCCGCTTCTATACGTGACACAACAGAAGCATCGATGGGCCTTTGATTTACTCCGCACCACTGACGACAGACGGAGTTCACGTATGACCCTTAAGAGACAAAGCGGGACACGTACGATGACCACCATCTTGGTGGGTCGACTCGTTTTTAAAACTTTTCAGATAATGTAGCCGACATTGAATGCATTTTGACAAAAATCGGCTATGTGGAAGAGCTGTGGTCTACACTGACAAGAACGTAAGTAGATAGACTGGACTAATTGTTTGTAATTTGTCATTTTCATGAGATCATAAACTCCCACCCATGGTCTTTTATGATAACAGGGAGACAAGCAAGCCTATTCTTCTTAGACCATTTATTGTATATTTGACACACATTCCAGCCCGATATCAATTAGGCGCGTAGGGTCGCGCCCTGCTCACCAAACAATACTTCCGCTTCCTTTTCGAACCCAATATTTTCAGCTAAACACAAATTGGCTGTTTTTTATACTTCGCGAGTGACGTAATAAACGTTGCTTGGACATCGACTTAGCCATTTGACGTAAAAACGAGCAGCAGCTTTTCGTGTTGTTGCCACCATGCCGGCGCTGAGTAGCGGTCCTTTTCTACGCTCACGATGTTTCCTGTGTAATCTTGTTGATAACTGCGACACCAACGGAAGTTCTACACTGAAGGACTTCGAGTGGGAACGCCGTCAGTTTGACTATTAAAATATTTGAAGAGTCGTAAGTGGTTGGAAAGTGGGCAGTTAGGAAGCTGTCCATGATCACTTGACTAGATTCTCGCTTGATTTGAAAACACTTCCGTTCGGAAAATGTTTACGATTTGAACTAGACGATTCGAAAATCGTCCGGTTTCATTTGAAAATATTTTCGATAGTTTGACATAAGTCGAGTACCAAATGTTTGCGATAATGCAGAGATACGGTGATGGGGAAAATAGGAAATGGTCGTAGTAGCACATCTTAGTGCCACCGGGAATCGCCTACTGATACAAACTCGATGACAAACCAACGTACTCGTTTTCTTGCTGATCTGCAGTTTTCTTTTCTTTCTCAGATCTTTCACCGACAGCTTTCCTTCGACTCCGAATAGGTCTCTGACTGCTTATCCTTACGCTTTTACGCTGCGCTAAAATTGAGCACAGAAATGGTTGGCGCAAGTATTTTCAAAATAAAGAAACGTTTTTTTCGTAATGAACTGAGGAAAGGTTGATCGAGTTTAATGGATTAAAGCATAATAGCTTTAGCGCCAACCCTTATCAGACCTGTCGAGTTCCGAAAACTTAGAAAAAATTAAGTATCATTGACAAAAACACGAAAATACAAACAGGACTATGATAGAAGGTTATGTTGTCACATCGCTAACTCATCTTCATCCTGTCACGAATAAGCAAAGATTATGAAATCAATGTTTCCCAGCATTTCTGTAGTACCCATTCCTCGCTCCAATTTCAAAAGTGCTCCGATACTTTTGATCACGGTCGTTTTGGTCGTTTTTTTTGGACTTTTTTGATGATTAATTACAATCGAATTGCAAGAAGAGTGATACATGTATATTAAAACGGTACTAAACGTGAATTGCCCGGGCGCGCGTAGGAGAAAGAACGCGCTCGCATCAACGTGTTGACATGTCTCGCTTTGGAACTAGTTTGCAGCTTAGGACATACTTTCTTGTATTTATTTACCAATTTATCGTTCACTCTTTCAGTTTAAAACGATATGACGCCTTGCTACAAAAAGATTTTAGGAATTCTACCTTGTACCCTTCTCATCATGCGTCTATGCCACGGCGGACCTTCCCTCGCGCCGCCGCTTGGATATAGGCAGTCTGCACGACTTCACGCTTATCGCACCCCATCCAAGCAAAAACGATTTTAGTCATCTTAGCGGGGCTCTTCACCGTGCAGCATTTCGTTGACGTTGTCCAATTTACCTTTATATGAACGCTATAAAACGTCATCGATTGCAAAGGAGTCTAGTGATCGCCTCCATTCTATTCACGCCATGCCCATTACGTTTCTTCGCCCAATGTGGTGCAGAAGTTGGCTAGGTAGCTCTCGGGTATCTGTGATGGGCTCTATACCTTTCCCAATACATGCACGAGAACTTGTTCTTCTTAATATTCAGCCACTTATTCTATGCCAGTACTTCATTAGTGAACCTTGTTGTAGGGCTAATCTCGCAATTCTCGTCGCCAACGAGTATGGCCTCCAGTGGTAACCCTTTGTCTAACAACTATTTAACAGAAATATGGACAGGGTTCAAGGTTTCTGACCTGTGAACATGTTGCTTGAATGTTGAGAACTGATTAAAAAGTGAATCCTCAGTCAGTCCGTGAGCAGAGCACTGCGTCGCCTTGGACAAATTTTGTATCTATTTCACTGATGCGTTACATGATTTCACTCCCTTCAAAGCAAAACCAAGGCGCTGCCTCCGGTTCGAGTAGGACTCGATGACACGGGTTTTGTCTGACTTTGGACAGACATCGACTTGTCCATAAAGCACTTGTCAGAAGGTGTTATTTTTCTCTGCTTCTTTTTTTGCTTTTCTCACTCGTTAATAATTATCTTATTTTATAATAAGATTCAACGAAGGCTAAGCGATACTAACACCGTCCTTCGAGTTCTGCTATGAAACTAACACCTCTAGTCATACCTACTCTACCTATGTACAGGTATATTCGGCATGCAATTTATCATTTTTTTATGTAAAGGGTGGCGAGAAATTACGGTAAGAAGATGAAGCGGTCAAGGGATATTTGTGAACTAGAAAAAGACAACAAGGTGGAAAACAAAAAATGTTCACTGAAGGTAATGAATGAAAACCACTTGGTCTTCCGCCTGATCACTATCCTTCTTTAAAAAGGAGTGAAGTCTTCCAGGGAATGAGCTGATCGGAGCTTGTTGAGAAGTGCATCCCAGGCATTATGAAGCAGTTTGTCTCCATGTCTGCAGCAGGAAGACTCTTCGTACCAGTAGATTTGAGTAAACAACTCTAGGTGGCCGCCTTCCCCATGCAATATCTGGCATTTAGGCTGGCGAGAACTTCGCGCGAATTTCCCCGTATTCCGAGTTCTACAGAAATATTCAACGGTTATTATTTCTTCCTTTAGTTCAAGGAATTAACACGAGTTACAAACGATTTTTTGAAGTGCTACAGTCCATTGCGCCTATTTTTCATTATTGCTCTTGGTAACAACACAAGCTTCTCCTCCACGTCCAGTCCAACCGTTCCTAGCACCTGGTCAATTGGTATTCCCAATGGTGGTAGTTCTAGGCTTTTAGAGATCCTGATTCGCTTTTCAACGTAACAGCATCGGAATTAACAAAGCAAGCGATTGGTCGTGAAGAGCTGGAGACTTGATGAATCCAAGCTAAATAAATTTTAAAAGATCAAATTAAAGAATTAACATGGTATTAATAGAACCAAACCAGTTCAAAAGCCACATCCAAGACTTCATATGTTTGATGAAATCATACAGTAGCGGTCAAAAGTTTGGAAACTTTTTTATTTTTGATCTAGCGTAGCCAATAGACAATGAAATTGCCCCGAATTCACATATTATATTCAGAATCAAGTGTAGATTACGATGGGCAACATAATTTTTTGAAAACTAAAATCGCTTTTGAAAAATACGAATTTTTATAAGAAATGGCGCGTCAAAAGTTTGGAAACTTCCCAATTCCAAAGCTTTAAATTTCTGTGGTAGTTTCGTTTTTTGTTGACATGGAGTTGATTATAAAATAATTTTAGGACTTTTAAGTCGAACCCTACACACTGTGAACTAAATCACATTGTTTGGTGGGATTCTTAACTGGAATGTGGGTTGAGCGACATGCCAGTTCTTCCGTGGGATGTAGAACTCAATTAGACTTCAGATCTTGACTTGGTCGCTTCATAACAGCTTCTTTTTCTGGGTTTAGGAAGGCGGCAGTGAGGAGGTAGGCCTGCATTGGGTCATTTCCGCGATAGAAAACCCATCTTTTCCGGCTAGTTCTGACTATCGAAGGGAAGCATTGTATTCTACAGACTATCTTGTACTTAGCCCAACCCACATTTCGCTGGATACATAGAACTGGGGAATCATTTTGAAACTCCACATTACTCAATGGTTAACTAAATTAACAGAAACAAGTGAACATTGAAGAGTAGGAATCATAATGATGAGGGAAACAAAAAGTTTCCAAACTTTTGACGCGCCATTACTTGAAAAAATCTTATTTCTCAAATATGATTATAGATTTTTGGAAATTATTCTTCCCGTCGTATTCTGAACTTTTTGTATGTAATATCTAAATTTGGGACAATTTCGTTGTGTGTCGGCCGCGCTAGATCAAAAATAAAAAAGTTTCCAAACTTTTGACCGCTACTGTATGCGGCACGCGCGTGATACCGTAATTTGTGGCCACCCTGTACATCGCAATGCACTGGACAGATCAACAGAACACTGCAAGAAACTAAAGGCGATAATTGGAGGCGGGAGAACGTACTTCTTTGACTAATACGAGTAATCTCAGGGAACATCCGAGGTAGAGATTGTTATCTAGAGCTTACGTTATCTTGGCCTTCAACTTTAGGGCGGGAACAGTCTTCACTCATGAACCCAGAGGTATAGAACTGGTTCTGACCAGCTTCGCCGACTCCATCAGATTCGACAAGCGACTGACTAGTTCGCGAAACATGAACATGCGTCTGATCAATTTTGTAAGCGATTTCTTGCTTCGCAGTTTTGTTGAGAGAAATCCCCACGGAAGGCGTAGGATGAGCATAATACACCGTGGCTGCGTGCCATAGGCGATGTCTCTCGAGCCCTGTGTATAGATGCCACTGTAGGAATTATACCGATTTGGATGTTCTTGATATATAGTGAATAGTACTTACAGCGTTTTGGTTTCTTGAAACTGTGGCTTTTTGCTTCTAGCTAACTGGGTTTTTTGCTTCTAGCTCTGTCGATTATCTTTTCGCTGCAATTTCTGCACACTGTGTAGGTCCGTTGTGAAGTTTTTCGGGCATCAAAACCTCGAGTCGAAGAACAAGACCGAATGAAGTCGGCCAGGCCCACCTCGCGTTTCAGCTGTTGTTTTCTTTTTTCTTTGGAAAATATGCGAGTAACATTTTGAAGGAACCAAGAACATCGGAAAAATTAATCAGTTATTGGACAGGCTTGTTGACGGCAGAAAGACACAAGTGGGCTATTCCGATCATACTCACACTTCTCTGACTTCTTTTCTTCGTTCTTCTCTGAATTTTCTTCTTTCACAGCTTCGTCCCCATTTCCTTCAGGCGGACCCAGAGCACGAGGATGAGCAGAGCTCGTGAGCGTTCTGAATATCAGACGTTGCCTATATTGAATGATCCTATGGTTGTACACTGGAATGAAAACAAGCACTGCTCGAGATTCTGTAAAAACCGTAGTTCGCATTTGAAATCTCTCTATACTTCCAAGATATGCAAAGTGGAAACGCGCTGTTTCAGTTTTATGCTAATGAGTTAGGTCAACTTCGTGATATTCAGTTCAATCAGAAAACATTCTGCGGTCATTATTAACTTGGGGACCATACGGGTTGGACATGACTGGGATTCTGTCTGTGTTCGACATTGTTTTCTACCATAGCTCACACTACTAGGGGTTATCTTTGAACGTAAACTAGCGCACAAAATAAGTTAGTGAACAATCTAATTGGTCTCCTATTAGTCAATATTTCCTTGTGATGGTGAATTATTTGTTAGGAAAATCGAAGGTTATATGCTGTTCTAAGTGCTGGTCTGATTTTTTTTGATGGTGTGTTACCCATCAGCTTAGGAAGCAGGTGCTACTGTCGCAAACCAAGAAAATGAGCCTTTCTTCAGCGGTCGATTTTCAAATCAGTGTGAATATCAGATGTTAAAGCCTATCTTAACAGGATAATGTAGAGGGTGAATCTCTGAAAAAAGAGTGCAATATTAATAGGGCTTAGTGCGCTGACAAACAACAGACAATAATGCCAACAAAAATCGTTGTCAACATGAGCACCAGTTCTATTTTGAGTTCAGGATAAAATTACTAGTTTGATAGCGTGAAATACTCCTGGTGAAGCATGGCCCTGTCAAATCTGAGCTTGCGAATCACCCAATTCGGGTAGTACTAAAGCCACAGTTCAGAGCCGTTTTAGGTCCCTTAGAATGCTCTCGGCTCTCCTTTCACAATCATGGAATCCTAGCAAGCTGTGTTGCAATCAACGCAAGGCTAGTCGCATCTTGAAACCCAAAAGTCGCTTTGCCTAATTTATTGCGGAGTAAGTTGATTGTAATCTTAGTTAGGAACGGAAGAAATACAAAGGGATCCGCTGCAGTCTCCATATATCCTCCCAGCCTCCAATATTGCAGACTTGTTAGAACGCATTGCTGTTTGCATTTCTAGTCATGTGACTCAAACGATTGGAATTGAAATGGACTCGATATTCCTACCTTCTTTGAGAACAAACAAGCATCCGAAAAATAGGATTAGCTAGTGAAATCAGTTATGGAATAACAGCACATAGATATTAATATTGTCACACACCTTAAATTGTGGGTCGAAGTTTAGTTTTAGTTCTTACCCATGCTCATTCAGATTGCTTCCGTGATTGCATGTGCGCGTTTACGTATTACTATAGCTCTTCGGCACTGATAACTATGACATTATTGTCAAGATGTGGGACGAATAATTGAGCTAATAATAAAAGTGTTTTGGTCACTTAAGAGTTTCACTAGAATCCGTTGTCTTTTGCTATTAATTGAACATTCTGCTAAAATAGGTTAAGAACGTAGCATTCCATTCAGAATCGTGTGAACTACATACCGGCGGCCGGCTACATGGTCGCTATCACGATTCCCAACGGTGCATTTGAAGAAGCTGGCACAAACTGTTGATACGGCAAGAAACGTGGCAGCTGAAATATGTGGATACTTTTGAGAAGGAACAAGAATTCATGCTCTCTCTATGCGATGCAGCCACGATTCACTAATAGCTAGGATACTGAACGCGATTAAGCGATCTCAAAAAATCGCATCCACACTCATCGAGCAGAGCACTAGAGCAGTTTGCTAAGCAGGATGAGACAAATCCGCCATCTACCTCTTCTCTATCGAATTGACCATTACTGGCACGCGTGGCTGATGCCCCTCCCACTGAAATTTGCGTTTCTTCTTGCCAACGGCCAAACGGAATGCAGTACTACGTAATACTACGGTGAATTTTGCACCATTAGAAGGACCAGAAGATATGAACACTGCTCTGTCAGCGATTGGTTTATCCGGGCGACGGACTTTTGGCGCGTCCGGGGTTGCACGCGCCGAATTGCGCGGTGAATGCCGACGCCATTCGGGCGCGACATTATCCGTATCTCGCTCGTTTGTTTGGCACGTTGCGCTAGCCGGCAACTTGCCCAACGCGAAGTCCTTCTGTTTCTGAAACCGTTTCTGTTGTTATGTTGTGCTTGTTTTCTTTCCTTTGCTTGCATTTTTGCGGAAACAGTGTGCCCTTAATTTCTGCACTATTTCTTAAACATAACTTCCATGAGTTTTTTTATTAGACGTTTGCTAGAATTTCCAGTGCTAGATTCTAGTGAATGATTGGTGATGCAGGCATAGAGACAAACGTCCGCATAGTCACACCTCCGACTTTTTGGAAAACCGTTCTTCAATGAATTTGTTTCACACCTGTCATTGGTATGCCCAATGACAACCCTTGTCGCCTAAATGAAAAATAACAAAATCGGCCACATCGCCGCGCAGGTTGCCGCGCGGCATGCCGTGTGCAACCACGGACGCATCGAAAGTCCCGCACCCGGTTTATCCTATCATTTCCCTTATAACACTCGCGAGGCGCGGACAGATCACTCAGGCCACAGGCAAACAACATTTTCGTTCCTCCACGTGTACAAGTGAATCAGCCACGCCAAGCTCAGACACTGTGATTCCGGCTGAAAATTAAAGAACGCGTGTGATGCATGTCAGATTAACTATGCTAATTACGGAGGATGACCATAGTTCAATGATAGGGAATTTACTTCCAAGTGCCAGCCATAACTCACAAAAATCCTCCATTTCTAGAAATTATGTAAGCTTGAGGTTGAATACGCACACATGAAATCGGAATTCGAGTACAGTGTTTGTTGAGCTAGCCATCATGACTGCAGCAGTCTTCAGCAGTGAATCTTGCCCTTTCCTCCTTTCTTTACTTGCGACCTTCTTAATGTTATCTTTTTCCGTCGTCCACCATGTATGCCGCTCTCTCACGTCTTACGATAATGATAAGTGTGATAAGTAACGTGTTCCATTATTGAGCCACAAGTCGTGATGGTAAAACCCCAGGACTAATGGTAAGCTCCAGAGGATGGAAGTACTCCGAAGGGAATGGACATTGCTCACATGCTTTGAATTCCCCTAAACTTATTTTGGACCTCTCTAATAGTGGCAAAAGGATAAGAAATCTATGCTGCGAGAGAGGAACATCGAAAAAAAATGTCACGGCGTCCACCGTATTCATGTCACCACCAGATAGTTCCCTCACCCGGCCAACCTTCTCTTTAAAGCAACAATCCAGGAACGAATTCGCGGGTAAGGACCACCTATAATGACGTTGCAGGTGAGAAGTTGGTCAATGGAGAAAGAAAAAGTAGAAAAAACGTCGGGCAGGGGCTTAGACAGGGACTCCCCCTGCCGTTTAGGGAGACGTGTGTTGGACGAGTTGTCCGAACCTGCCCGTAGTACATGCGCTCCAATTGCAACTGCTGGCAAATAGCTGCATGCTTGCAAATACATAACTATTTGCCAGCAATCGAAATTGAAGCGCTTCAATTGCGTTCTTATGGAATCGACCTCATACAGCGCGGCGGTCCCGCAACGACCGCTAGTCAAGCACGGACTCTGCACAGCGTATGTTGAGCGATCCGCCTCGGTATGGGTGATCCGCCCCCTCCAAGAGGACTTCGACCCCTTCCAGCGCATTTTAGAGGTAGGTTTTGAACTTAAAGACATTTCCTATAAACTTTAGTTGGGCTGGGGCATGTTTTGACCGCCTAATGACCAAGTAGTTGAAACCCTGCCTGGACTGTTGCTTTAAACTTTACTTCTTCCGCTGTGGTCCTTCCACCAACACCTCGCGTAGGTGACGTGTATGCTACAGAAAAGGAGTTTCATATAGTGGAGTTTATCGCCATAATCATAACGTGACGGTAGATTTTTCGCCCCCATTCCCCATCCTCCCTTCCTTTCCTCTCTCCACTGCCCTCCATAGTACATCAATAGTAGAACACCAGTTGTTACTAACAAATCGTGGCCCTTTCATATTTGTGCCATGGAACTTTTGTACCATCCTCATATAATAAAGGATTGATGTGTTTCATGCGTTGAGCTCCTCTCTCGAAAGATACAACAGGGACTCCAGCTCCTACAGACCAACCGACATACCATGTGAGCCGTTCATATAATAAAAGGAGAGCGAGTGCAGCGTGATTAATGCGTGAAGTAGATAAACAGCGAGAGCGATAAGTCTTATCTCACTACTGATTTCGTCTCTCACAAGCAGTCTCAACTGGCGGTGTGTCTGATGCGCTTGCTTTGATGCTGGGTAAACTAAGGCAACAGATCACTATGATCAGAGAGCGTGAACAAATGCTACAGCCATCTCGCTCACCATCAGTTGTTCCTTTGAAGGCATTGACCGCGACGTAGTAGTCTACCAACGCGCTAGACAATGAAAGAAAAGGTGCGAAGAGGAAAGTCAGTGATTAAAAATCAAAGATGACCTAGAAACACTGTAAGTTAGGGCCTCCTTTTCTTATGGGATTAAACGTGCTATTAGGAAGAGACCTAGTGCGGCTAGGAGAGAGGGAGAGAGCACGCGCCAGAAAACATTGTGTGATAAAGCGCAGACGTGACTTGTGCTGCGAACAAGCAAAAACGATAGTGGCAGCAGCACTCAGATTAATCCTTAAGCCATTGTCGCGAAGTGCATCGACTGTGCTTAGGAACCCTGCTAACTAACTCATGACAACTGCTCAAGTAACTGGCTGCCATCCGTGCCCTTGAGAGTTTTTTTTTTCAACCTCTATCATTAGTGAAGTTTTTGCCTTTTCCCATGAGGGTAACAGAGAGGTAGCGCACACTTACCATGGATGTAGCCGACTTCCATGCCGCGGTGGTCCTACACTCCAGCCTAGCCGTTCATATGAATGAACCTCTCAGGCAATGTTTTCTCAGAGGAAGTTATCATTTCTTTTGTAAATATCGAAAGAACTTCATTCCTGTCAATACAGGACTTCACAGACTTACCATTGCCGGAATCGCTTTTAGAGAGTTGTCGCCCTCCTTTTCTTTAAATTAATTCCATTAGCATGAGGTGAAAAACGGAGAGTACAGATAATGCGCACTTGCCCTATTGGGAAAACACAAGAGTGATTCCTATCCCTCCTCCTACTTGAGCACATTTACTTCAAATTCATATAGGAAATTAGATGGGGACCAGGATGATCACCCGCCACCGCTCCCCCATCTAATTTCACATGGTGATCGGCGGGTGTTGTGTGTTTTTCACGAAATCGTAGCACGCAGTGCGACGGAGTAGACAACTCGCGACGGTATTTCTCAATCATAGTGTAAAACTTCTGAAACTTCTTCTTTGCACACACATACCTATTGTCGTCGAGAAGGGGGTTGATTATTTCTGACTAAATGTCACGCATAGCCTCGGATAGTTGCCAAGGATGGTTAGCATAGTTAGCGACTACTACGCGCTACAGGTATCTGGTAGCTTGTTGCCAAGCAGTAATTTATAGTCATACCAAAACCACCTAGAAAACCCTCTTACGAAGACTTGCTTTCGAGCTTGCCAACGAGCTTTCTCCTTGGTGAATTCATTTACTGTTCAAGTGAGCCCCAGTTATCGTCACGAGTGCATCTCCTGCAAAAAACCTCCCTCTCTCCCTCTGATGTGTACAAAAAAAAGTTGCGACCATTGCTTTCGTTTTGTTAGAATGGGACAGTTCACGTTGTGCTCACCGCGAGCATGTCGATCCTCGTCTGAGATCGTGCAGGCGCTAAAACAACACCCTCAGATTGACTTTGCGGAGTCACACCGGTTACGAATGAATTGTGGATGCCGAATTGACTAAAAATGAAAGAAGAAGGAAAGAAACCGTCGATGAGACTTAGAACAAAAGTTCTCTTCACCCTGAAATAAGAAAGGGCGGAGCCAGACGAGTTGTACAAACGTGCCTGCTCCACAGCTTTACTGACCCGGGCGTATTTGAATTCGGCTACGCCGTATCCACGTTGCGTGCCGAGGGGTGTGCGCGCAACTCGTCGGAATGCTAAAGTTAGCCGCCAAGCCTGACTTTGTATGGCCCTACCGCCTCTGTTGCGCATTTTTGAGCCGCGGCAACGGCATATCTGTCACTTGTAGGGATCTCTATCCCACCCGCTGAATAGATTCTTCGACACGACTTTCGCTGTGGATAAATCCTTTTCTTCGAATAATATATTTTCAGTTGCGTTTCCAATATCATCAGGACACTACGGAATGAATTCCCCCTGGATTAGGCTTTAATGATGGCTTTGAATGCAATAAAGTGAACTTCCATTATGGAA